TTGCTGTGAACAGCTGGGGCACGCGCCTTATCTGGCCCGGCCCCTTGGGGACTTGCGGCTCGGGTGCGACCTCTAACCGCGGGTCGCAGACCGTGCTCTCGGTGTCCGATGACATGGCGCCTCTTCACGATCAGCACGCCAGTCTGTTCACACCTCTCTTCTGTTCACTTCACGGAGTGACAGGGGTTCGTTACCCAGTTTAAGAAAGGCTTCAAGAAAACACACACACAGAAAAACACCCTCATTTACAAACGACCGGAGCCAGCGCGCTTGTGGCTTCCACTCACAAGCACGCTTTTCCACGTCTCCGTCCCCGCTCTACCTAAGGCTTGCCGCTCGAACCAATGGCGGTGGGGACGGAGGTGTCGCCTCCGTCCCCGCCGTGGAGGCAGCGCCTCTCTCCCCGCTCGACCTATAGCGGTCGGCGGACTCGAGTTCGAGTGGGGACGGCGGCTCATATTGCTAAATATAAAATTCCCCCACCCGGGTGGGGGAACATAAAAATACCTCAGGGTGCTGTGCGGGTGTGAATACAAGAGCGCTGCGCGCTGAGAACGAGCAGCTATCTACACATGTGTCAATGCGGGTGGTCGATGTCCCGCCTCCGCGCCTACATCGCCCTCGGCTCCAACCTTGGCCGCCGCGCCGCCAACATCCGTGCGGCGGTCCGGCAGCTATCGCGCGAGTTTGAGCTCGAGGCCACCGCGTCGCTCTATGAGACGGCTCCAGCTTATGTCGACGACCAGCCTCCCTTCCTCAACACGGTCGCCGCGGTGCGCGCGAGCTGCTCGCCGCGCGAGCTGCTGGCAACGCTCAAGCGCATCGAGGTGGAGGTGGGGCGCCTTCCCTCAGCTCGCTGGGGCCCTCGCGCCATCGACCTCGACCTCGTCCTTTACGGCGACCTGCAGCACTCGGACGCGTCGAGCGGCGACGCGGCGCCGAGCCTTCCGCTCGAGCTCCCGCACCCGCGCATGGGAGAGCGGCGCTTTGTCCTCGAACCGCTCGCCGAGATCGACCCGGCAGCGCGCCACCCGCGATCCGGCGCCACCGCCGCCGCGATGCTCGCGGCGCTGCCGCCGGAGGACGCGGCGCCGCTGCAGCGGGTCTGCCCGCTCGGGTCGGACGACGACGAGGGGCTCGTGCGGTGGGGTCGGCGCACGCTGCTGATGGGCGTCCTCAACGTCACGCCCGACTCGTTCTCTGACGGAGGCCGCTTCGACTCTGCCGCCGCCGCCACAGCGCACGCCCTCGAGCTCGAGGCTGCGGGCGCAGACATAATCGACGTCGGCGCCGTGTCGACGCGGCCGGGCGCGGTGGCCGTCTCGCCGGAGGAGGAGCTGCGCCGCGCCGCGCCCGTGGTGCAAGCCCTCCACGCCTCGCCGCTCCGTGCCCCAATCTCTGTCGACACGAGCTGCGCCGCCGTCGCCGCCGAGCTGGCTGCGCTCGGCGCGCGCGTCGTCAACGACGTGAGCGGCGGGGCGATGGACCGCGAGATGCTGCCGACGGTCGCGCGGCTCGGCCTGCCCGCCGTGCTGATGCACATGCGTGGGGACCCCGCCACGATGGCCTCGCACGCGCGGTACGACGACGTCGTGGCTGACGTGAGGAGCGAGCTTGCGGGCCGGCTCGCGGCGGCGCAGGCGGCGGGCGTGCCGAAGTGGGACCTGATAGGCGACCCGGGCATCGGCTTTGCGAAGACGGCGCCGCAGAGCCTCGCCCTCCTCCGCTCTCTCCACCGCTTTGGCCTCTCCTCCGCCTCTGCCGCCGCCGCCGCGTCGGACGCCCTCGACTACCCGCTCCTGGTCGGCGTCTCGCGAAAGTCGTTCCTCGGCGCGGCGGTCGGTGTGGAGCTGCCGCCGCAGGAGCGCGCGTGGGCGACCGCCGCCGCGTGCGCCGCGTCGGTGCCGCACGCCGACATCCTGCGCGTGCACGACGTATCGCAGATGCGCCATGTGGCGGCCGTCGCCGACGCGATCCACCGAGGTGGCGGCGCTCCGCCGGCTTCCACCGACAACCGGTGAGCCTTGGCGGTTTACCGCGTGGGCTGGGGGGTGCACATGGTGAGTACGTTGAGACGCATGTGTTCGATGTGTTTTCTGAAAAGAGAACTGCGCGTTGGGCCACCCTGACCCTCCGCGCGCGCGCCTCTCTCCTGACACCTCCCACCTCCCACAGTCCCACGGGCACGGCCACGGGGCCGCTCGACCACAACCTTCCTCCAGCCTCCACGCCCGGTGACGCCGCCGCACCGCCACGCGCCAGCGCCACCGGCACGCGTTTTGTGTGTGTGGAAAAACGAAGAAGTCTTCATCACAGACCCGCGGCGGCGGGGTGCACACGTGAGACCAGCGTGCAGAGAGCAGAGAGTGGACTCGCGGCCCCCTTGCTGGCACACAGCGCACACACACGACACAGCGGCGACCCACACACGACACAGCGGCGACCCGCGGGGATGGCGGATGCGGGGGAGCGGATCGGCGCGAGAGTGTCCGGCCGGTGTTCAGCCGCCGAACGCGTCCTCGCCAAACTTGAGGGCGCGCAGCCTCTCCACCAGCGGCACGAGCCGCGGGTGCTCGACGTAGCCGTGGCAGAGATAGCAGTGGACCGACAGGTCCGCGAGGCTGGCTGCGGTGGCGTGGCCGGTCGCCCCGTGGTGCGCCAGGCTATGCGCGTTGAGGTAGCGGCCGCAGTTGACCTCGCCACACTGGAGGCAGACCCACTGCTCTGGCGACTCGCACCCGTGCGAGCAGACCGGCTGCGCCCCCGCGGCCGGAGCGTGCGTGCCTGCGCACAACAGGGCGGTCGCGTGACGAGGCGGTGCCCCCCCCCCCCCCCATGTAGGTGGTATCGACATCTCGCAGCACGTGTCTGTCCTGCTCCACGATCTCAAATCTGATTCAGCTTGCCCGACGACTAGTGTAATGTGTACTTGCGCCGCC